AAAACTAGGAGATCGCTGAGGACAATTGTTAATTTCCCCACAAATAATTGAATGATCACAATTCAAAGGAGGACTAATAATGCCTGTATTCGAAAATTCACCCATGCAACAATCAGTTATTAATAAGTCTAATATTGTAGAGCTTCCTTGTGTTACACGAGTTGGCTCAGAGATTAATTGCACAAGATTATTGGATTCCAAAAACCTATGAAGTTGTTTCCCAATCTCTGTGCTGTCACTAGGTATTTGTTTATTATAATGTGCATTAAAATCGCCAAGAATGACAATTTTATATTTATTAGGCGATAGGCTTATTATATCGAGCATTTTCTGAAAGTTGTCAAAAAAATGAGAACAGGATACGATATTATCGTCTGGCGGCCTATAACATACTCCACAAAGAAAATTACTCCCTGATGCGCTGAATTCAACCCATAAAAACTCAAGCCCAACTATTTCTAGGTTGTGTCTTCGCTTAACCACAAGAGAATCAACTGCGAATAAAGCAACTCCGCCTCCAACTCGTCCTTCTCTATCAAGACGAATAATAGGATTAAAACCAGGAATCTTAAAGTTATCACTGCTAATGTTATTGTTAAGCCATGTTCCGTTAGTGCAAATATATGGAAATTATAATCTTTCACAATGAAAGACAGTTCATTAAATTTATCTTCATTATTCAAACTTCTACAATTTAAGTGACCAAATTTTAATGACTTAAAAGGTCCGGGGTTCAATTCGACATCGTTAGCAAGAATGGTGTTTATGTAAACCATAAATAAAACAGCTAGTAGCATGCTAAAAATAAAACAACACTGATTCGAGACCGTATGAAAACTCGAAGTTGAAATCCTTAAGCAATTAAATAACCCGATCGCTGCTCTATACGCAATAAGATCAACCAACATTAAATACTACAATAGCAAATGTTTCATTCCTTTCCTTATGCCACCGCGGATCAATAGAACAACTGGCTGAAAAGCAATTTGATGGACTGTACAACATAGACATAAATAATTTAGGGGAAATTTAAAAGACTACTAGATACAGCGCTCCAGGGCACTATTGACAACACATTATTATTGTAAAGACGGCTAATAAAGTACCGGATTTCAGTCGAATTACATTAAGTCATACTCCTCAAAATCTGTATAGCGAACTATGTTAAACTTCCTGTCGTCAGATCGTCGTTTCGCAAAAATTCTACCGTCAATTGTCCACGCAGAAGACACATTCGTACACCCAGTACGAGCAATGTAAAAAAGCTGCTGATTTTGTCTTGTGAGATCTTCATTGATGGAAAAAGGCGTGTTCCTTAATTTATTCTTTGCTTGCAGTACGTTTAGTTTATATTTGTGCGACTTGAACCTGACAATAATGGCTCTTGATTTACCATCTGACCTAGGTTTTCCCACCCGATTAATTCTATCGATTTGTTCTTCAGAAAAATCTGGTAGCATTAAGGTTTCACGACAGAGTTGGCCAACCTTCAAAGAACAGTTCTCATCTGATTCTTCGGGAAAACCAGATACTCTAATGTTATAGCGCCGCGAGTACTGTTCGTTATCGTTAGCTTTAGTGGCAAATCTAGCCACTTTCTCTTCAAGATTGACAATCACATTTTGCAAAACAACAACCTTCTCATTTAGCAATTGCTTCGCTTCAATGAGTTCGTCCTCAACTCGAACAATGGTGTCTTTCAAACCTGAAACTTCGACTTGTAAAGGTTGAATATGCTGATCTATGCATGCCTTCAGCGTTTCAGCCACAGCACTTTGAACAATCTTCCTTGCTCGAATTCTCTCGATTTCGATCGCGTTACCATTTTAGCTTGCAGCTGATAATCAACTAATTTATAGCACAACTTTCCGCTTTTCCTATTTTGAAATAGGCCCCAAAACGCAGAAAAGCTTTTAGCAGTAAGAAAACACTTGGTAAATAAACAGAAATATGAATATCGTAAAATTATTTTCGGAGTTACTGTTCATATGTCCTGCTGTATGGTTGTAGAATTTTCTTCTTTAAAGTCTTCAAGTGTCTTTCAAAAAATTTGAAATCTCGTTACCAAGAACACATTATCTGGTATGCTGAATTATATCATTCTATTCAAGAACTATATGCATCGATTATACTTCTAATTTCCATACTTGTCATCATTTGTTGCTGATGAATGACTTTCAATATATGACCTATTTGATATATTTACTAGGCATAAGCAGTTCATTTGTGTGCCATACATGAACCCTGACTGACATTTTCTAAAATGAAATAGATCAACTATAAACAGCAGAAATGTTGATGTTATGTATCAATTATGGTATAAAAAGGCTTTCAAAACTCTGCAAATGTATATTGGCACCACCTGTTATCCTGACAACTTCTATGCACCTACAACGTTCTCGCATGCCAGCTAAAGTTTAATATGAACTATCAAGAAGATTTGGAACCCGAAATGTTTTAACAAGAACACAGGGATGGATTTACTGGGGGGATGCGGGGTGTGTGCACCCCCACCCCCCTTAGCCTTGGCCAGAGGGGGTGCAGGAGGGGTGTCCTATTTCTCATGATAAGCAAAAATTATTAGAGACAAAATGAGATACAGAAATTTGAGTAATAATATGATGATAGGCGAACTGTGAACAACAATTACAATTCAAATACTGTAGTCAAGCAAGACTTTGCAATAGTGAAGCAAGTTGATGGGCGGGCGGCACACATGACCGACACAACTCGGCACCAGAGCGGGCAGAGCACCCCCCCCCCTATCAGATCATGCTGGATCCATCCCTGCAAGAAAATTATAAAACTAAGATGATTCAACAAGAACATCATAAAATTGAATATCATCTTTGTGAAGTTATGGCCGGAATTAGTTTCTGCAAGTTGAATATATATCAGCCATTTTATTTTTCTTTCATCTGACATACTATAAATATAACTTTATTTAACTGCTCAGCTGTTAAACTTCGGTCCCTTAAATTTTTTTACAAGCTACTGAGTGTTGATTGAAGCCCTTGGCAACAGTGCAATCACCATGAGCAGATACATGTACGCTTAGCGTACCTATTTTTGACAATTGACGCGCGAATGGGGCGTGTTATGAAAAGGGGCGTTTTACAAAATACCGGGCCTTGCTTGCAGGCCCACTATTCTTCCCTTGGGCCTGCGCGCGAGCTAAATCGGAAATGAAGCTTCTAGAAGGCCCAGTTGAAGAGAAAGTATTGGGAACTGTCTGGAACCACAACGATGGTGTTTTGGGGTTCAAAGTAAGTCCACCGGAGGTTATCAAATTAACGAAGACAGCAATATTAAGCCAAGTAGCTCGGATCTGCGATCCCCTTGGAATCGCCGCAGCCTTCCTGATTCGTGCCAAGATAGGGATGCAAAAACTGTGGTTGGCTGGACTACAGTGGGGACGATGGCTGTAAAACTGTTCAGAATAACAACATAATTCAGTATCTACAGTATGTTGGTCAACGTTTATTTATAACTCTGGCCATTCACCATCACGTGTATATTGTATTTTTGCCAAATCCACCAATAGCAATTTCCAATTTCCCCTATTGTTCGAGTCACAGATATGTAACTTCCCTCATAAACCATTGCTATTGGATATTTGGATGAATGTACAATATACACATAGCGGTGAAGGACAAGATTTACGAGTAAATGTTGACTAACATAGATAATGATTTATGTTGTTATTCTAACGAGTTTTCATGCTATGCTCAAATATGCCCTGCTTCGTCTCATCAGTCCGAAAAAATTAAAAAAAAGTTATCGAAAATCATGCGAGAATAGTGAAGAGATTTAATTATACAAACCAAACTGAGAAAAACTTACCGAAATTCGTAACGTCCTTCAAAGTCTGTACTATTATTTCGCCAATATGACAATTAACTACTCTTCTATTCAAAAAAGCTGATGATCAGCTGGAACGAAACAGACGTTTTATCTGGCATTTTCTTTGGCTTTACGCAAGAAGATTTAAAATAAATTGAATTCAGCAAATCTTTCAGCAACTTATCAAAGCTTACTGAAACGCGTAACTCGTTTCAATCCCTTGGAACTTTCTACAGAATCCAACGTATCAGAACACTAAACATATACTAAGCGTTCAGCAGGTATACGAAAACACTAACATGAAAGCTTACTGAAACGCGTAACTCGTTTCAATCCCTTGGAACTTTCTACAGAATCCAACGTATCAGAACACTAAACATATACTAAGCGTTCAGCAGGTATACGAAAACACTAACAATTCTCTAAGTGTAGGCGAATAAGTGTCGTGTTGATTCAATTCACATGCTAATAATGCACGGGTTTATAAAGAGGACTTTCTAATAAGGTACCTCGGTTCAGTTTTGAAAAATTTCATGTATAGCCTATAACAGTTTGGCGGTGTTAAACGTCTTATTTTTAACTTTTATGCAGCAGATATCAGGATATTCATCTACTTTCGTCTTTCAATGTATGTCAATTTTGGTAACACATAATTCGTTGCTATGGCGACACACGCGTACGAAATTGACTGAAAAATAGCATATTTGTTTGTGTATTTGGAAAAAAGTACGGTGACCCCCAATTTTTGTTCTTGCATATTTTTTACTATAACATACACTAAGATTGAGCAAAATTTAAAACATTTTCTGTTATGGCAGTTTTTGAAAAACGCAAAAATGCCGTTCTTTCATTCAATCATTTTGTTTTGGCATTACAAAATTTTTCATTTTTGGTAAATTGAAAAAATTTTGCAATACAATGCAGGTGTGTGCAAAATTTCAGCATAGGTCACCGAAAGAAATATTACAGGTATACGCCTTTTAAGAGGATTTTTTTAATTGCGTACGACTAAAACTGAAGCAATTGCAATGTCAAGCTTTCGTACAATTTAAATTTAGGCTTTTTCATGCAAATTCAGACGATTTTCAGTAAGTTTTAAATAATTAAATTCAATAATTTTTCAACATATTAATTTTATAACATTTCCACACATTCCACTTTGCTATACAATGTATTCTCATTTTATTGGCAAATTTTAGAAGCAGACCACCAAAAAATTTAGCCTCACTTCAAATGTTCTCGATAGCTAACATAATAACACGACATAGAGGCGGTAATGGAGAAAACTACTTTACAGCGATAATTAGATAATGGGCGTAAAGCTCGTTAACTAAGCCTCTTTAATTTCTGCCAAAATGCAGACACGAACGATTTCTATCCACCTGTCGCCCAAGATATTATACTTGACCACTGCGTGTGCAACGTCGCAACCTCTTTTCTAAGCTCTTCCCTCTTGTGGAGAAAAGACCCTGTTTGGAGCTGGGTATACGTGTCACGCGGATTTCGCATGGTAAATAAAAAATGGCATTAGGGTAGGGTGACAGGGGACTGACGCGCTTGGAAAATTGCAACTTGTGTATTATAGTTTCGTACAATAAAATTTAAATTTGCAACAAGAAATCCTGAAAGATTTCGTATTTATTATGATACGACTTCCTCTATATCATTGAGTGGTGGGTTAAATTAGTCAAACGAGAAGTTGGATCAGATTTCATTTGACACAAGGTTCTTGGCAAGGAAAGCACGCTTCGATTAAAAGCACAATCTATAAGTGTAAAAATCTTCTAGACCGATCGATCGAGCAAACGATGTGCTTTTGACGTTTGTCAGTGTTAAAGTGTATCCTTTCCGAAACGTACTAGACCTTACACAACTATATTTTCTACTTGGCACGTTCAAGTAGCTGAGGAGATTGCAAATACTTGCATAACATTACTGTGTTGTCAAAATATATTTAGTCGAAGACTAAAACTAAGAAGTCATATTTGTATAGAAAATTACACGGTTCGAGGAGTGTTAATGAAAAATTGCACGCGTGCTTGGCGAAATATTTATAATACCACGAGTGCGTAGCGCGAACGATATTACAATTATTTCGGCAAACACAAGCTTCGTCCCCAGGCGCCATGAAATGATTTCACATACGAGTCATTATATAAAAGGTTTACATGAAGTAGTGCCGTAACATTATAGATGCGCAAAGGGCAATGGGATAAGAGCGTTCTGGTTTGTATAATAGCTGTCGGACATAATTTCATCAAACAAGTAAACAGCAGATCTAAATATAAATGCCTTCATGTATATCACCGGAAAGAAATAAACTATCCTTACCTGAATTATTCAAAATATTGTCGATCGTTTGTATCGTGAAAATCAAGCATACTGCATGTAAGTAAGCTCGTAACTGAAATCCTGAGACGAATCTTGGGAACGCAATACAAAATAAAGTTTTATTGACTTTATTGACTTTATTAAAAACGGTACTATTTCACCAAGATATTTACAAAAATTAAGACGGGTGATCTTCCAATAGGCCGTATATAGCTATACTAATTACACATATACTACAGTATCTAATAATAATAACTAAATCACAAATTACACACTTACAGTTAGACTATTTTTAAATGTAGAGATACTTGTTTTAGCTTTTATGTCAGCAGACAGATTATTCCAAGTCTCAGCTCCTCGATAGGCGAAAGACTTTTTCATAAAATTAGTTTTAGGTTTAGGTAATGCAAAATTGAATTCGCTCTGTCTTGTATTGTCATTATGTATTTCATTTGAGGTGATGAAAAGTTCCGTTAAGCAATTTGGTAACATGTTATGTTTGGCTTTGAACATTAGGACGGCTAAATGATGTTTTCTTCTAGTCACGAGATTTGGAAAACCGACCTTGTTCAAAACATCGATTGTACGTGTATCATAGTTTTCACGAGTTATTATTTGAAATGCTCTATTTTGAAGCTTCTGAAGTTTATCAGATAGTACTTTACCCAGACAACCCCAAATCTGTGAGCAATAGTCGAAATGTGGTTGAATTATTGATAAATAAATTTTGATCAGTGTTTGGTAATCTAGAATGTCTCTCAATCTTTTAAGGATACTGAGACCTGAATTAACCTTTTTTGTAATTTGATCAACTTGAGCATTCCATGAGAGTGTTTCGTCAATCATTAAGCCGAGTGATTTGGTCGTTTTGACTCTATTAATTTCTCTGTCTTTTATGAATATATTAGGCGTTATGTTAATATGATTGACTCTACTATTACTACCTATTATCATGTATTCTGTCTTCGTTTTGTTTAAAGTTAGTTTATTTGCCGACAACCAAACTGAAACGTTTTCTAGATCTTGATTAAGTTCCTCAGCAACTGTATTAACATCATAACCTGCCGTTTCAATTTGGGTATCGTCGGCAAACATATTGACTTTAGTGTGTTCCAGACAATTAGGTAGGTCATTTATGTAAATTAGGGCAAGAGTAGACCAAGAGCCGAACCTTGTGGTATACCCGTTGTCACACATAGAGGATCAGATAAATGGGCATTCACTTGGCAATATTGTATTCGACCTGTTAAATAGGAGTTGGATCATCGCTCCCTTGTTTAAAAAAAAATCATGAAACTGTAGATTTTTAAAATGAATTCCTCATTGTGATAAAAGTGCATGGGTTAGGGTAAAACGCTGATACGGACGGACGGACGGACAGATGACCTATTTTTCTCTAAAATATGTATTAAACATCATATCCGGCGTTTTACCCGATCGGGTAAAACGCGGATATGTTGTAAAATATGCTTTTCGGCTCATTCAAAGGCTGATACGGACGGACGGACGGACAGATGACCTATTTTTCTCTAAAATATGTATTAAACATCATATCCGGCGTTTTACCCGATCGGGTAAAACGCGGATATGTTGTAAAATATGCTTTTCGGCTCATTCAAAGGCATATCCGCGTTTTACCCGATCGGGTAAAACGCGGATATGTTGTAAAATATGCTTTTCGGCTCATTCAAAGGCATATCCGCGTTTTACCCGATCGAGTAAAACGCGGATATGGTGTAAAATATGCTTTTCGGCTCATTCAAAGGCATATCCGCCGTTTTACCTAGGTTGTGTCAACCTCGTTTCCAGGGCTTCAGTGTGAGGACGAGGCGAGACACGAGGAAGCCCTGGTCTGGGCCGGTCAATTTTGCATTCTGATTGGCTAACACCATATTGTCTAAAAATAACTGAACTTGACAGTTGACAATAACAATTCAACATTTGTATTTTTATCATTCTTGTGTGTACGAGTATGTTTTGCAAAATAATCTTTCAAAGTAAAGCCTGGTTCACATATGCCTGCGGTATGCCTGCGACTGTATCATTATGCCTCTACTTGCCGCCGAAATACCGGCAAAGTTGAACTCAAGTCAACTTTCCCGGCCTATACCGCCGATCTAACTGCGGCAATCGGCGAACATTTGTTCACATAATTTACGTTCTAAAGACATGACATGACAGGAAAATATGTGATATGATATGACAGGAAAAGAAAGATTATTTTCTACTAAACAGAATCATTTATAGTCGCTGTCTTGAATCTTGTAAAGAAGGTATTTTGTTCGAAGAGAACTTGGATCAGTGATCAGTTGTCAAAGTTGAACCGGATGGCTTGACTTCAATCTATTCATAAACAACATGGCGGAAGGTTGTTCGCTAGTGAGCTCCATAAGTTTCGACAATAACTGTGTTATTGAATGTACTTCTGCTGATATTCTTAAACATAAAGAATGTTTCAACCTATCTTACGATGGTAAACGATTAAAATGGCTTGGAAGTCTTGATTCTTTAAATTAAAGAATTTTATCAAATTTGGTATGAAATTATGCGGTAATTGGACATCACTTGGCAATAGGTCTAAAACGTTTTCATGTCATGGCCCGGTTATCTCTATTACTTGGTACCCTGGTAAACTAAACTCCCTTATACTACACGGTAAAGCAGGTCCTGCCTTTTCGGATATGTTGATCGAAGCCGCTCATGCTATAGCAAGTCAAAATAACCGCCTTATTCCACTAGTCAAAATAAGTAGTCAAAATATAGCAAGTCAACTAGTCAAAATATAGCCACTAGTCAAATGTTGATCGAAGCCGCTCATGACTATAGCAAGTCAAAATAACCGCCTTATTCCACCTAGTCAAAATAAGTAGTCAAAATATAGCAAGTCAACTAGTCAAAATATAGCCACTAGTCAAAATATACATATTCCGCTAGTATTCCAAAGGTCGTAGGTTCGAATCCCACCGTGGCCAGGCATATTTTTCAAGCTCGCCCGGTGTGGATATGCACTCAGAGTAACATCGCAAACATATCTACCTACTTATTAGACGAAAGCAAGAATCCAAACAATATATCTATGTCTTATTGTACATTTAGCAATATTGTAGAACCGGTTTAAGTGGTTGAAGTGGGATTCGAGAGTTCAAACCGCTTAGACAAGAACGATGCTTTGGTTAGCGGACGTGTGGAAATGACAAATAACCCCCTACACAACAAACCAACGCAAAGATCCTATTGTGATTGTCAGTGTTCGCTGCTAGCTGCCGACCTAGAAGGGATTAAGCTTGAAATTACAATTATGCAAAAGGATATTAAGACTAATGCTAGTAAATCCCGAGCCGATCAGGTGAATCGGCTGAAAATCGAGCTTTCAAGTGAGAGAGAAAAATGTGAGCGCCTTGAAGCTGATTTGTCCCTTATAATTCAAGGACGAACCCGTGAGGTTAGTGAAATGAACGATATCATTGCTTCACTCGAATGTAAACTTAAAACCACCGAGGCGACTAATGACTCTCTGAGACAATTGATTAATACCATAATATCCAATTCAAAACCAAACGTGTTCTCCCCAGCAATGTCCTTGCAATGGGAGATACTCAGTGCTTGCCTAGCCTAGAAGAACAAATTAATTATGACCTTATTCATGATCCAGATGTACAAATAATTAAAGGGCGAACTCGTGAAGTTAAAGAAATAAACGTTATCAATGCTTCACTTGAATGTAATCCCGAAGCCACCGAGGCGACGAATGACTCCCTGCATGAGAGAATTAATTTGTATAAAAATTCCCAATCCAAAACCAAATGAGATCTCCCCCAGCAATTCTCCTACAACGAGCAATTCTCTATTGTCTAGCCACGTAGAACTAACTAATTATGACCCTAAGCATGTTTCGCCTGTAAACCTCCCACGGTGACCAACATAAAAAAGTTGATTTGAATGCAAAGAAATCGACAAATATTATCGACCACAATTTACCACTTCTTGATAATAAACGATTTAACCCGACCTCTCCACCTCTCAAAGTAAACTTACAGAGATCGGAACAACAAAATGGACAAATACGAAGCAATTATTTTCGAAAGCGCCCCCGAAAACGTTCTCGTGCCCGACTATCCCAAGAACGAGACGGAGAGAATTACTATTACCAAACCTCTAGCAAAACAGGCCAAAACATCAAAGTCCCATGGTTCCGGTATCATATACAAAGAAAGGACCCAGATTAGATCGAACATCTAGATCTGGTACGTCGAATAACTGTCTCACAATAACACGTAGTTCAGTTTATCAATCAGAGCCACATGTAATAGAAAATCCCACACATGAAATCTCCACAAGCATTACTAGACGTAAGAGACGCCCGTATCAGAATCCAGGTAGAGCAGTCAACTATCATGGTCTGAAAAATTTGAAAAAGATAAAAATCCCCAAATGGTATGATATTCCCACCATTCTATCTGCGAATGTGAGGTCGCTGCCAAAGAAACACGAAGCTCGAATCAATATGGATATCAATGAGACCACATAGTTTACCAAGAGAAGTTACATCAATCGTAGTAGGCGTGGTCTATCATTCGACGAGTAATGGGAAACCTGAGAACATTATTTTACGTGATCATGTTCAAAAAAATCTTGATGCTGCGTTACCTAAACAGCCAAATGCATTAATTATTCTAACAGGCGATTTTAATCCAACATCGACTGGTTTTAACAAAAAATATATAACCCAAGTGAATAGCCTTAAACAGTTGGTTACCTTTAAAAGAAGAGATTCTGGCATTTTAGACTGGCTGTTTACGAACAAACCTAAACTGTTCTCTTTAACCCAGCTACCTAAGATTGCATCATCTGACCATTATTCAATTCTGGCAAAGCCTATACATGGAGATGAAACTAAACTAATAAGTAAATCTAAAATACGTGATATGAGGGATAGTGCGTGGTGTGCGCTAGGTCGATGGATTACTCAAAAAGATTGGTCCTCTGTCCTCGAAGCTAATATGTGTAAAGATAAATTTGATCTTTTTAACTAAGATCATAACCAGGCTATTGATAGATTCCTTCCACAAAAAGAGGTTAAAAAGCACCCAACAGATCGACCATGGATCACTACTAAGATAAAAAAGGGGATTCAAAAACGCCAATCAGCTTTTATCCAGCAAGGGAAAATGTCAACAGCATACCGATATTGGAGAAACAAAGTCCAATGTTCCATTCGTGCAGCAAAATACCAATAATATAGCGTTAAAGTTACTGAAGTACAAAGAGTTAATTCCTCAAAATGGTGGAGAGAAATTAAAAAACTCTCTGGGCAAAGTTTAAAACTGGAATGGCACCATCAGTTTCTAGGAAATAGCTCTGACACTAAGTTACTAGCTAATAGGATTAACAACTTCTTTACTGGCCTTACTGATAATTTTGAGCCCTTAACTCCACCCATTGTATTCCATGAAGTTCCACAGGATTTCTTTGTAACTGCATGAAAACGAGGTCTACAGAGCATTATCATTGCTCCAACTAAATAACTCAGTCTTTCCTGATTACATCCCGTATAGAGTCCTGAAGGAATTCGCGCATGAGTTGGCACCTATCATCAAAGATATTTATAACCAATCAATGAAAGAGGGATATATTCCTGAACTACTCAAATCATCAATTGTTATTCCAGTACCGAAGATCAACCCCCTAGAACCGTAGAAAATGACCTCCGACCTATCTCGTTGACATGTACCATAGCAAAGGTCATGGAAGGTTTTACATACACAAGACTGCTACCTCAGTTAGAAGCTGGATCCGCGCCTACCTCAGTTAGAAGCTGGATCTGGAAGCTGGACCGCGCCAATATGTTCGTAAAAATCATTCAACAACAGATGCTCTACTATATACATTGCAAGCAATCTACGAAGCAGTGGATACTGGTGAGGCCGGAGTACGCTTATTCTTTGCTGATTTTTCTAAAGGGTTCGACCTTATTGATCATACCATCGTTCTACACGAACTAGAGAACCTACAAGTTCATCCTACACTGTTGAATTGGATCGCAGCCTTTCTAACCAACCGTATGCAGGCTGTTAAAATTGATGGAGTTCTATATG